GGGGGGAGGGGGAAGAAAATCAAAAACCGAACCGAAAAAACTAGACTAGATTGACCTTACCTTGAGCATCTCATCAATAAAGACCTCTGCGCAGACGGAATGACTTTTGGTGCAGGCGAGGACTTCCGCGATGGAACGCATCATCTCCCAATTTCCAATAGAAAAGTTGTAGCGGAAACGTTTGACTAATAGATTCTCTAGGTTTTGACTGGCCACTGCATCACGCAAAAGTAATACCACATAAAGAGAGGCTGTTTAAATGTAACACACCTGTTATCCTCTGCTTGGCACCAAGAAAGCGTTCATCATCTGGTAACTCTAGACAGAGTGCGCTAAGAGTTCGGATGCTAGAGGTTTTTTCGAGTAACTGAAGAAAGTTAGTAAAGAAACGCTCTTGGTGATATACCGAAGTTTCCTCAGCTGGAGAGTTTACAGGAAGATTTGAAAACGTGCCGCCTCCAGCCCCAACGAACTTAGAGAATTCTAAAATGAGCCTCCGGGCGTTTTGAAGATTTTCACGAGGAGCATTTTTGCGTTCTAGTTCCTCACCTAGATGAATAATCTGGCCGGAGATTTCGTTTATTTTGGTGTCAAGTTGCTTGAAGGAGGCAGTCGCCTCTTCCAACCTGCGGTTGAGCCGTGACATTTCCTCCAGAAAGGATATATTTACTTTCCTGCATTTTTCCTGCAGAAATGGAAAATGGGAAGTTGCTGATGACCATTATTTCGACAGTTTAAAGCGCACTGATCAGAGTTGAATCCCCCAAGTGCAAATTATTTATGACCAAAAAATAGATAAAACAAAAATAATAGTAAAGGACTTGAGTGCATTTTTATTGACACTATACCATAAATAGTACCGATAAAATCAAAGGCGTTTACGTGCAGTACCGAGCACAACTGTGTACTAAAGGAGTTTAAAGTATACGCAATACTACGATATGTCTTATTTTTAAGATAAAATTGAGTGCGGTCGTACGCTCATTAATGAATTTACGATTTAGTCATTTGACTAAAAAATTTTAATGCAATAAATAAATTCTAAGACATGTCTTAAAATGTGCACATACCCGGTGCCAAATTATATATAATTACTTAAATGAAAATAATACATATAATCAGATATCATAAATTAATTATAGGACTAAAAACAGGGAGAAACTGGATTATATGTGAATTAATTAAATCAATTTTATTTAATTATATTTACTTATAAAAGGGAATTATATAATCAAATTATAATCAATTCGAAACATGTACATGGTAAGCACAAAAATGTGGCTATTTGGTTACCTCTAGACAGGTGGACTCTGAGAGTGTCTTCAAACGAACAGTCTGAAGCTCATAGAGAGTTTTTTCGAAGTAGGTTCGCAGTTTTGAAGGATCTATGTCACTTAAATTTGGCAAATTACTGCTGGCCTTGTCAGTAAGTCTGCCCAATAATTCCACGCCAAAATCTCGCTAAAAATTACGATTTACAACTTTTCAAACCTTATTATTTTCAGCAACTGTTTCACTTGTAGTCATAGCGGAATGCAAACACCTGGGGATTTAGGCTAAATAGGTACAACAGTGAAATTGTGCTACACCGGCGGAGGCTGCACATAAAGTTAGTGACAGAAGACGGAGATTTCATTATGAGTATTTATAAGTATAATAAGCACATAAAGTATAAGGCAACCTAAAATCAAAGTGCACCATAGTCTAATTTTTAGAATTTTGTGATAAACTTGGAATCTTTCAACGCCACACAACAGTGTTGTGTTATTTGCCCCCTTGAACTATGCCGCTTATCTACTCTAAAAATTACACAACTAACTCCTCTACACAGTTATCGTGTATATGTGATCGGTATCTATTTTTATTTAAATAAATTGCCTGATGAAGTGCGTCATAAGCGACCCATATTTTAACTGGAAGCCCATGGACTTCTACCTCCCCCATCGACGCCATTATCTCACTCATGCATAAGCGAAAGTAAAAGGTCTTAGCGGGGCTCACATTTTCCGTTAGAGTCACTATTTCATGCGGTGTACTGCAAGGTACCGTACTAGGTCCGCTGTTGCTCTCGGTTTAATACATAATATTTATCCGACATAAAAGTTGACCTGTTAGTTAGGTTGACGATCTCAAATGCGTATATTCCTTCTATAAATCAACTGACTACCTATGATCAGAATATATTCATACCCGTGTGGAGCGCATTTTCTCTAGGGCATTGCTCAATTTCCATGCGCCCTATATATCTTTTGCACCTGAAACGCTACTTCAAGCAGTAATTTTCTAAGCCGTCCTCACGACTGAATTTTTTACCATTAAGGACTAAGGTTTAATCCGCACCAATATTTTAGTTTAATGCCCCAGCCGATAAAATTCAGGCAAAAGCTATCAATGTTGGTGGCTTCGGAACATCCTCCGGGGCAGTGGGCATCCGATGGAAAGCCCGGACCACGTCAACCTTCGAGAACACGGACTTGACGAATAGGGCACCGGCATTCTATTTGAAAGGCGACTTTTACAACACGATTTCCTACTGCCAGCATTGTAAACACTTTTTGTGGCTCTAGACTGTTTTTATTT